AAGGTATTTATGCACCCAAGATAAATGAAAACATGTTCACACAAAAACCAGTAAGTAAATGTTTATAGCAACTTTATGAATAATCATGAAAAATTGGAAATAACTCCAACGTCCTTCAACTGGTGAATAGATGAACAAAAAAGGATACATCTGCACAACAGAATAAAAAGGAACAAACGATTGATTCATATACCATCATGGATTAATTCTGTCATTGCCTTTTGATACAATGACAGAAACCAGATCCAAATACTACCTATCGTAAGATTGCATTTATCTACCAAAAAGATAAAACTATAGACAAAAAATACACCAGTAGTTGCCACGGGTTGGAAGAAGTAGGGGGAGGGGCTGACTATAAAAAAGAAGCATGGGCCAGACACAGAGGCTCACACCAGAAATATCAGCATTTTGGGAGCCCGAAGTAGGAGGATTGCTTGAGCTCTGGAGTTCAAGACCAGTCTGGACAATATAGTGAGGCCTGGTCTCTACTAAAATTAAAAAAAAAAAAAAAAAAAAAAATTAGCTGGGCATGGTGGCACGTTTGTAGCCAGCTACTCAAGGAGCTAAGGCAGGAGGATTGCTCAAGCCTGGAATATCAAGAGAGCCCTGATTATGCCACTGCATTCCAGCTTGGCCAACAGAGCAAGACCCTGTCACAGAATGAAAAGAAGAAAAAGGCAGCATGACATTTTGGGATCGAGGTAATTGTGGTTTAAGATCTGTGTGAAACTGTGTTGGGTGGCCATCTCCCAGCATTTATCCAAATTAGTTGAACTGTACCCCACAGTGAATTTTACTGATTGTAATTTAAAAATCATCCAAGACGTGGAGAGAAATATGGAATGAAGACTGGGGAAATGAATACAATTGCACTGCAAATGAATTGCATAACCACTCTGAAGGGAGTAGGGAAGAAAGTATACTTAAATAGCTTTGGAACATGTTTTGAATAGATACTGAAGACTGAAAACAACCGTGCGCAAACACTATTCTAGTTGGCGAGTCCATTTCTCACAGAGCTATGGTTTAGTAAGTCCAAAATATATGTAACCAGGATTGAACAAATGAGCAAATTATTATGAGAAGCCACGTTTCTTGCTGTTACAACTAAGACAGCTAGAATGAATCCTGTGGTGCTAAATTGGGAGTTGGAGGGACTAAGTTTTTTTAGCACATGGACACATACAGAAATAAACAAGTTTATGTGCATAGATTATATACTACATATGTTTCCTAGCTTTTTTTTTTTTTTTTTTTTGAGACGGAGTTTCGCTCTTGTTACCCAGGCTGGAGTGCAATGGCACGATCCCAGCTCACCGCAACCTCCGCCTCCTGCGTTCAGGCAATTCTCCTGCCTCAGCCTCCTGAGTAGCTGGGATTACAGGCACGCACCACCATGCCCAGCTAATTTTTTTTTGTATTTTTAGTAGAGCCGGGGTTTCACCATGTTGACCAGGATGGTCTCGATCTCTTGACCTTGTGATCCACCCGCCTCGGCCTCCCAAAGTGCTGGGATTACAGGCTTGAGCCACCGCGCCCGGCCTGTTACCTAGCTTTATGCACTGACAGAAACTAGAATATGCAAAACATGGGGAAAAGGAGGGAAAATAGCCAACAATTCTTTGTCTTTTTAGCTAAAGGTGTTAGCCATTGTCAATTTTCTTGTTTTTGAGACAGGGTCTTGCTCTGTTGACCAGGCTCATGCGCACTGGTGCGATCTCGGCTTACTACTCCCTCCAACTCCCAGGTTCAAGGAATCTTCCTGCCTCAGCCCTTGAGGGCTGGGCCTACAAGCATACGCCACTATGTCCAGCTAATTTTTTTTGAATTTAATAAAGACCGGGTCTCACCCATGATGCAACAGATTGAATAGAATTTATTATTATTGAGGCTGGACGCAGTGGCTCATGCCTGTAATCCAAGCACTTTGGGAGGCTGAGGTGGGTGGATCACCTAAGGTCAGGAGTTTGAGACCAGCCTGGACATGATGAAACCCTGTCTCTACTAAAAATACGAAAATTAGCTTGGTGTGGTGGCTGGCATCTGTAATCCCAGCTACTCAGGAGGCTGAGGCAGAAGAATTGCTTGAACCCAGGAGGTGGAGGTGGCAGTGAGCCAAGATTGTGCCACTGCACTCCAGCCTGGGTGACGGAGCAAGACTCTGTCTCAAAATAAAAAGCATTTATTATTTCAAGTCATTCTCCTGCCTTCAGCCTTCCACCTCCTGTGTAACTGGGATTACAGGCACGCACCACTACATGCAGCTAATTTTTGTATTTTTAGTAGAGACGGGTTTTCACTATGTTGGCCAGGCTGGTCTCGAACTGCTAACCTCAAGTGACCCGCCTGCCTCGGCCTCCCAAAGTGCTGGGATTGCAGGTATAAGCCACTGGGCCCAGCCTAGATAGAATTTGGACAATGAGTTTTAACTAAAAATAACCTGCCACAGGGTGGAGCTATGACCATGCTTTCATAATTTGCAGACATTTCCTATTTGAAAACAGATGCACTTTTTTTTTTTTTTGAGATGGAGTCTGGCTCTGTCACCCATGCTGGAGTGCAGTGGCACGATCTCAGCTCACTGCAACCTCTGCCTCCCATGTTCAAGTGATTCTCATGCCTCACCCTCCTGAGTAGCTGGGATCACAGGCACACACCACCTTGCCCGGCTAATTAACAGATGCACTTTGAATAGCAGGTGCAGTTGTATCCATATCCAAACCCTGATTCAGAAATCCACTATTGTGGCCGGACGCAGTGGCTCACGCCTGTAATCCCAGCACTTTGGGAGGCCAAGGTGGGAGGATCATTTGAGTCCAGAAGTTCAAGACCAGCCTGGGCAATGCAGCAAAACCCTGTCTCTATTTAAAAAAGAAAAGTAATCCACTATTGCATGCCAGTTTGGCACAAGGTGTCAGATACAAGGAAAAACAAATGGGATATTTCTGACAGGCATTTCAACCTTAAAAGTGGGAAACTAACTTCACTATTCCAGTAGGGAAAACCTCCTTCCTAATCTGCTTGTTTCTCTAGTTATTTATTTTAGCAAGTAAAACAACTGGTATACCAAATTTAGTTTTAGAATATTTATTAAACAATTCAGGGCCGGGCGCGGTGGCTCAAGCCTGTAATCCCAGCACTTTGGGAGGCCGAGGCGGGTGGATCACAGGTCCAGAGATCGAGACCATCCTGGTCAACATGGTGAAACCCCGTCTCTACTAAAATACAAAAAAATTAGCTGGGCATGGTGGCGGGTGCCTGTAATTCCAGCTACTCAGGAGGCTGAGGCAGGAGAATTGCCTGAACCCAGGAGGCGGAGGTTGCGGTGAGCCGAGATCGCACCATTGCACTCCAGCCTGGGTAACAAGAGCGAAACTCTGTCTCAAAAAAAAAAAAAAAAAAAAAAAAAAAAAATTCAGCTGGGGATGGTGGCTAATACCCATAATCCCAGCATTTTGGAAGGCTGCAGCAGGAAAATCGCTTGAGGCCAGGAGTTGGAGACTAGCCGGGGCAACAGAGCGAGACTTCATCTCTACAAAATGTAACTCAGCCAGGCACAGTGATGCACATCTGTAGTACCAGCTGCTTGGGAGGCTGAGGCGGGAAGATCCCTTGAGTCTAGGAGGTCAAGGCTGCAGTGACCTATGATTATGCCACTGCACTCAGCCTGGGCAACAGAGCAAGACTGTGTGTCTTTAAAAAAAAAAAAAAAGTTAAACCTACAACTATCATATGACCCAGCAACACCATTCCTACATATATATCCAAAAGAATCAAAAGTAGAAATTGAAACAGTTGTACACCAATGTTGATACCATAATTCACAACAGCCAAAAGGCAGAAACAACCCAGCTGATCATCACAGATAAACAAAATGTGGCATATGCACACAATGGAATATTGTCATAAAAATTAATTTTGCTACATGCTACAACATGGATAACCTCAAAACATGCTAAGTGCATTTAGACACACAAAAACAAATATTGTATGATTCTACTTATATAAGGTCCTCAGAAAAGACAAATTCAGACAACAGAATTGTGGTTACTAGCAGTTGTGGAGTAGAGAGAATGGTAAGTACTTTTTTTTCAGATGGAGTTTTGCTTGTCACCCAGGCTGGAGTCCAATGGCACAATCTTGGCTCACTGCAACCCCCACCTCCCGAGTTCAAGCCGTTCACCTGCCTCAGCCTCCTGAGTAACTAGGATTATACAGTAGGGCCACCATGCCCAGCTAATTTTTGTATTTTTAGTAGAGACAGGGTTTCTCCATGTTGGTCAGGCTGGTCTTGAAATCCCGACCTCAGGTGATCTGCCCGCCTTGGCCTCCCAAACTGCTGGGATTACAGGCGTGAGCCACCATGCCCGGCAGAAAATGGGAAGTTTAAAGGTACAGAGTTTATGTTGTAAAGGCTGGACGTGGTGGCTCATGCCTGTAATCTCAGGATGGGGTGTGGGAGGCTGAGGCAGGAGGATGGCTTGAGGCCAGGAGTTCAAGGCTACAGTAAGCTATGATTGTGCCACTGTATTCCAGCCTAGGGTTACAGAGTAAGACCCTGTCTCTAAAACAAAAGTTTATATTGATGATAATGAGAACATTTTGGGCATACATAGTGGTGACTGTTATACAACATTGTGACTGTGTTTCAGTGCCACTGAATTACACACTTACCAACAGTTCATAAATATTTTTTGTATATTTGACCACAGTAAAAAAACCCAAATTACCCAAACACAATCAGCAATTTAATGCCTACCGTATGTACGGCATTGGGACAAAAGATAAACTGTTTACAGTACCCACATGGATTTGTTCTCCACTTCCCACAGATGCAGGTAAATGTGGAATTAACTAACATCATGCCTCCTATAGGCCACATGTCACTTCCAATATTATCAGGAAAATGGCCTGTTCTGAAGTGCCCGTCCATTTTCCAGGTCCAACCAGACCCCTAAATATATCCTTTATGAAGATCAGCTTCAGACGACTTGGAACACATTCAAAACAGTACGTATTTTATTTTCAAGCATACAAGAAACTCCCAGCTCTTCCAGTGCCAGTAACACTCTTCACGAATTCTTCATATAGAGCTGGGTATATTGGAAGCAGGTTGTTCCTGGCGAAATTTCTGATGTCAGGAGTTAAGACTCAGAAGCCCTAAAGTAAGAGAGTTTTGTATCCAATATCCTCAAAACCAAGACATAGTGTATTTTACTTTCAAAGTAAAGTATAAATATTTTACCATATCCTTCAATCCAAAAAGCATTTCACTGTGAAATGATCCATGTTGACTCTGCATAATTCTCATACATAAGTCACTTCAAGTGAGATAAGGGACTAACTATAAAACATGCATTATTTGAAGTATGTGAGCATGAAACGTCCAAGCCTACAACTTATCTTAAAAGAAAGAGTAAGTTCCAGCATTTTATTGTTTGAATAGCAGAACACACAAAACCAGGCAGAGAAGTCCCCAAGGAGATGATAATCATACTCCACTGTTTTTTGGCGCTTTGGTCCTTCACCTTTCAAGCACTTACTGTATTTTCCTTTAATGATTTAGACATTTATTTTTATCACAAATGCAATTCAAGTGTGAATAAATAAATGCATTATCTTTTAGCACCCCCTTTCCTCCTTGTTCCTTTAAATAGAAAAAAAGTGCTAAATGTCTCTTTATAGCCTATTGGCCATAGCTGTCCCATGGTTTTAAAAACGGACCGTAACTTGATCTTCTGAAATCCTTCTTGAACTACAACTCATTCTGTTAAAGAAATCCTAGGAAAGAAGTCCTACTGATATTGTCGATAGTCTCCAAAAGGTGAGGAAGGTAACTGAGTTGAAGGCAACTGGGAGGGGTCTTCCGCAAATTGAGGACCTGCAAGTGAGAAATAAAAAGGATTTTTAAAAAAATCACCTGAATATTACATAATTAAAAAGAACAAGTCTCTATAGAGAGTAAATAAAATCAATCAACTAAAAAAAAGTGCTAAATTAAAGCTACAACCCTAATTTCTTTATAGATCTGCCTAATTCCCATAAGAGTACTGGAGAACCTTCAAATTTGGTGTAACATATGACAGACTGGCTTGTTATGCTCCAGAATAAGCAGCTCTCAAACACTATGCTAGGAAAGTCAGACGGATTAGTTTTAGCAAGAAGCAAAATTCAAGTTTTTAAAGCAATTGCTGTAACAAGCTGCCATATATCAAGATTGGAAGAGTTTCTCCCACTTGTCATATTTTTCAGTAGCTATTTAAAATTATTTTCACAAAACGTAAGTATCTTAGTCATGTTTTAAGAGACTCTGGTAATCCAATTTATATAACCAATTAAGTAGGGAAAGAGATCTGAAATGAGAATATCCCCCCACCCCTCCCCAGCTTGCTGTAGAACAAAGTCTTGCAGTTTTCATTTCCAAAGGATAGGAGAGCCTGTGAACTGAAAAACACAAGTGGCTTAAAAAAAAAAAAAAAAAGACTTTCATGGGATGAATCACTCTTTTCTCCTATAAGAAAAACTGAAGTAGACTAAAAAACATCTGGAAGGAAGAGAGAAAGAGGGCAGTGGTAGAATTCTCTGAAGCTTTCAAAATGCTTCACTCATATATTTTTATTTCACTATAAATGCAGTTATCTGTTAATTACAGAAAAATTGAGAAGATACTGGGTAAAAAGGATAAGCTGGAGAAAACCACTGTTACCATTTAAACATAGTTCTATCTAATCTTTTCCCACTGTTTTAAAAGCTTTTTCATGTAACTTCCTTGGAAAAATATAATTAACTTTTCAAAGATTTGCCCCCTACACAGACTTCAGAAACACATCTCCTGTCTAAAAATAAATGCACCTCTTTAAGCTGTTGCTATATAAATGCTGAGTTTTAATTACTCAAAAGGAGATTCCAGCTGGGTGCAGTGGCTCACAACTGTAATCCCAACACTTTGGGAGGCCGAGGCAGGAGGATCTCTTAAGCCCAGGAGATCAGGATCAGCCTGGACAGAGACTTCATCTCCACAAAAACTACAAAAATTAGCTGGGTGCGGTGGTGCACACCCATAGTCCCAGCTGCTCAAGAGGCTGAGGTGGGAAGATCGCCTGAGCCCAGGAGGTCCAGGCTGCAGTGAGCCAAGAACACCCCACTGCACTCTAGCCTGGACCACAGAGACTCTGTTTCAAAAAAAAAAATTAAAATAAATAAAATAAGGAGATTCCCTCTGAGGAAAAAAGCTAAAAACAAAGTATTCAAGGCTAACTTCTATAAGACAACGTAACTATTTAAGTTTTTGCTATATCCATTTCTGAATTTCTAGAAATATGAAACTCTTTTGATGTTTTATGTAGTCTTTTACACTGAAGTGGTCAAAGAAAAATTGGCAAGTGACCATCACAACAGGGTGTTAACTCAGAAGGAAGGAATGAAAAACAAACAGAAGGTGAGAGGTTCTGCAAGGTCATCTAGATCACCTCACTGGCATCTAATGAGTAGTGCACTTGGAAAATTGTGCCCAAAAGATACTGAATCTCTTGCTAGGTGCCTCAGGGAAATCAAAGCAAATTGGGAAGTATGAGCTATTCTTAATGCTCAATCTTTTCCAAGCTCCAAAAATAATATTCAACATGTCTCATGATTCTACGTATTTCCTTCCAAAATGCCAGGTCAAATTTTCACTACATTATCTTTTTTCTTTTTTTCTTTTTTTTTTTGAGACAAAGTCTTGTCTGTTGCCCAGGCTAGAGTGTAATGGCCTAATCTCAGCTCACTGCAACCTCCACCTCCCAGGTTAAAGTGATGCTTGTGTCTCAGCTTCCCGAGGAGCTGGGATTACAGGCATGTGCCACCATGCTCAGCTAATTTTTGTATTTTTAGTAAAGACAGGGTTTCACCATGTTGGCCCAGCTGCTCTCAAATTCCTGACTTCAAGTGATCCACCTGACTCAGCCTCCCAAAGTGCTAGGATTACAGGCATGAGCCATTGCGCCCGGCCACCTCACAATCTTTCTCCATCCTTCCACTGTCAAGGGATATTTTTGTTTAGACACTGAAGTTTTTTTTTAAGAGATGGGGTCTTGCTCTGTTGCCCAGGATGGCCTTGAACTCCTGGGTTCAATTGAGTAGCCTCCTGAGTAGCTGGGACTACAGGAATGGACCATCTTGACCGAAGTTTTTTGTTTGCTCTCTGCATCAGACAGTAGGAACAACAGGCAAAAAATAACACCAACAAATTCTTAAAGGTACTTCCCCAGTGAACCCTAAAGTGACCTTCTCAAATATGAGTCACTTTCCACTACTCTCTTCTTCAAAACAAGCAACACTATCTAAAATAAGCTAATTTATCTGTTAATGTGTTAGTCTGTCTTCCCCTACCAGAATGTAAGTCCTTGAGGGCAGGGACTGTCCTGTTCATTATCTAAAACAGTGTCTGGCACGCAGATGGACAATACTAAGTTGTCAATTGACTATTATTACTGTTACACATCTATAGAACCATTTTTCAAGCCTCTTTAAAATGATCAGATATTTCTTGCAATATATGAGCAGTGATAAAACCTAAGTACTATAAAGATCAACAGCAAATTATTTACACAAAAATCTTGTTATTGTGGCTAAACATAACATGTTCACTTTTTACCTATTATCACAGTCCTCATGAACCAAAGCATATTAATACATACCAGACATTTTAGCAGACAAAGTATGTTCTTTCTTAACATTTGTGCTAAGGTTTTTTTTTTTTTTTTTGAGATGGAGTTTCGCTCGTTACCCAGGCTGGAGTGCAATGGCGCCATCTTGGCTCACCGCAACCTCCGCCTCCTGGGTTCAGGCAATTCTCCTGCCTCAGCCTCCTGAGTAGCTGGGATTACAGGCACGCACCACCATGCCCAGCTAATTTTTTTGGATTTTTAGTAGAGACAGGGTTTCACCATGTTTACCAGGATGGTCTCGATCCCTTGACCTCATGATCCACCCGCCTCAGCCTCCCAAAGTGCTGGGATTACAGGCTTGAGCCACCGCGCCCGGCCTGTGCTAAGGTTTTAAGCAAAAAGAAGACTCACCATTGGGAAACTGTGCAGAGGCAAATCTTGTCAACAAGATACCAGCTCCTTCAATTAAAGCTAGGAGAATGCCACCCATTGCAGCTGACCCAACCATGGCCACTGGTCCATCTGAAGACATTAATAACAAAGAGATTTTTTTTTTTTTTTTACAGAAATTCAGTCTACAGTAAAGAAGAGAACTGCCCATATGGCTACATGCTTCCCCAACTCTCTCTCATTGCCTAAGACCCAGAGTCAGTAAACTACAGCCACCTACTTCCTATTTTTGTAAATCAGGTTTTACTGGAACATAGCTATACTCTTTTGTTTATGTATTATCCCTGGCTGCTTTCATGCTATGACAGCAGAGTTAGGTAGCTGTGACCAAGACCACATAGCCTACAAAGCCTAAAATGTTCACTATCTGGCCTTTTACAGAAATAGTTTGCAAACTCCTTGGTCTAAACCACTAAGCTCAAAGAAATTCTGTTTTGCTCTCTGTCCCAAGGATTCAGAAGATGGTTCTAAGTTTCTTAGTCATAACAACTCTATGTGGCAGGTATAATTATTAATTAACTACAGATTACTGATGAAGAAATTATAGTATAAAAACTTTGGTAAACTGCCCAGTCATACAGCTAATAAATGGCAGAAGTGGGACCTGAAGTGCTCTCAACCACTGTAAATACATGGGTTAGAATTCCATGCCCTCTCATTCTCAAATCTTTTTCCCCAAATCACCATAACCTTGACCACCCAGGCTCAAGTGATCCTCCTGCCTCAGCCTCCAGAGTAGCTGGGACTATAGGCATGTACCAACACACCCAGCTACTTAAAATTTCTTTTGTAGGCCGGACGCGGTGGCTCAGGCCTGTAATCCCAGCACTTTGGCAGGCCAAGGCGGGTGGATCACGAGGTCAAGAGATCGAGACCATCCTGGTCAACATGGTGAAAGCCCGTCTCTACTAAAAATACAAAACATTAGCTGGGCATGGTGGCACGTGCCTGTAATCTCAGCTACTCAGGAGGCTGAGGCAGGAGAATTGCCTGAACCCAGGAGGCGGAGGTTGCGGTGAGCCGAGATCATGCCATTGCACTCCAGCCTGGGTAACAAGAGCGAAACTCCGCTTCAGAAAGAAAAAAAAAATTTCTTTTGTAGAGACCAGATCTCCCTATGTTGCCCAGGCTGATCTCAAACTCCTGGGCTCAAGAAATCTACCTGCCTCAGCTGCCCAAAGTGACGGGATTACAGGCATGAGCCGCTGTGCCTGGTCAATACTCGGTTTTCCAAAAAATGTGGCTTCTACTAGTGTGTCCAATGACTACTTACTTCTTGCTGCCAGTATGGCTCCCGTTAAGGCACCACTTGTGATGGAATTCCAGGGATCTTCCTTTCCTCTAACTTGAACCATACTACAGTCAATCATGGAAAACAGGCCTCCCCAGACTGCAAAGCTACCTATTTTATTGTAAAAAGAAACAAGCAAATACAAATTTAAATTTCACCTTCTATTTAAAATATTATACTCAAAAACAACACTCACTGTATTCTCAAAACTCTTATAGTCCAACCAAATATATGCAAACACAAGTTTGAATAAACACTGAACGAGGCAGAATACTTCTTTTGGATAAAGCTTGGATTGTATTATATCAGCTGGAAAATGAGCAATGGCCCAAAGGCTAAAAGAAATAAGCTGGCTGGGCACAGTGGCTCATGCCTGTAATCCCAGCACTTTAGGAGGCTGAGGTGGTTGGATCACCTGAGGTCAGGAGTTTGAGACCAACCTGGCCAACATGGCAAAATCCCATCTCTACTAAAAACACAAAAATTAGCTGGGCATGGTGGTGGGCACCTGTAATCCCAGATACTGAGGCAGAAGAATTGCTTGAAGCCGGGAGGCAGAGGTTGCAGTGAGCTGAGATCATGCCACTGCACTCCAGCCTGGGCAATAAGAATGAGACTCCAACTCAAAAAAAAGGAAAACAGAAATAAGCCAAACCTAAAAGGGTCAAGATGCATATGTGTGAAAACAAGCAAATCACCCTCCCGGAACACCTTTCCAGAACACCGTATCTCTGGTTTAAGCACCAATAAACAAAATCAAATTACTCTGCTTCCTCTTTCTTTCTCCTTTTCTTTCATAGCTTTATTTACCTCTATTTTTGGCCTTTCTTCATTATATGTCATTGAGCATCTACCCTATGAAAATCACTGACGGGAAAACAAAAGACATCCAGCTATTCTGGAATGTATTAGAAGTATTAGCCAATACATACTGAAGTGGCAAACGAATGATATAAATAGCTAGAATTATGGAACATCAAAGGGATGGAAATTATCCTTCCATCTTTTATTCCTCAGGCATGAATTTAAAATGACCTTCGCTGGGCGCGGTGGCTCACACCTGCAATCCCAGCACTTTGGGAGGCTGAAGGGGACAGATCATGAGGTCAAGAGATTGAGACCATCCTGGCCAACACGGTGAAACCCCATCTCTTATACTAAAAATACAAAAATTAGCTGGGTGTGGTGGTGCACGCCTGTAGTCCCAGCTACTTAGGAGGCTGAGGCAAGACAATCGCTTGAACCCGGAAGGCGGAGGTTGCAGTGAGCCAAGATTGCGCCACTGCACTCCAGCCTGGCAACAGAGCGAGACGAGACTCCATCTCAAAAAAAAAAACAAAAAACTTAAATCAGCAGATTACTTTGTGCTTAAACTCTGCCTAAATACAAAAATACTGCAAAATAGAGAAACAAAGACCCACACATATACATATGTAAGTACAAGCAAAATCTAAAAAGACAACACTAAGATTTTAATTGTCAGCATTTCTGGCTGACATAACGGATGATTTTATTTCATTGTGTTCTATATTTCCCAAGTCTAAAACAAATATTTAAGACTTGCATCATATAAAAAGTTATTATCTTTAATAAGATTAAAGAAAAAAGTGGCTGGTCCTTTCTTTGTTGTCTCCATTCTCACTGCTTCGCTTGATTAACCAAAAAACGAAAAGAAGAAACAAAGCTGCACAGAACAGCTCTCGTCACTTCCATCTTCACCCTCTGAAATCTCGGGGTAGGAGGTAACATGTGTTAGTAAAAGCAATAAACTGAGTTCCACCAAATGTCTGAACCAGAGCATCTCCAGGATCTTTTTCCAATTCTCACATTATCAATTAAATCTAGTGGGTAGTACCAGTGAAAGTATAGCATAAGCATCCTCATTTTTAGTTCAATATTAGACATCACATACTATACATATTTTAAAAACCCAGCTATTTCTTCTAACTCAGTAATTCTATGTCCTGGGAGAGAGCTATGATGTCTAGGTATATTAAAATTACCTCACTAAATTTTTCTGACAAGACCCTCCCATATCCTTACGAGAGCCCGAAATCTCCCCATCCCTTGAGAATCACTGCCAGAGTAAGTTTTGGCTGTTAATGAGAATGGAGAGTTTAAATCTAAGCAAGGTGAGGAGGAGATCCACAAAGGGTAGCCTGGTGTGAGGAGCCAGAGCCAGATGAAGTGAATGTCTACACACCTGGGCAGCCTAGAACAAGGTTTTTGTTTTTTGGTTTTTTTTTTGAGACGGAGTTTCGCTCTTGTTACCCAGGCTGGAGTGCAATGGCACGATCTCGGCTCACCGCAACCTCCGCCTCCTGGGTTCAGGCAATTCTCCTGTCTCAGCCTCCTGAGTAGCTGGGATTACAGGCACGCGCCACCATGCCCAGCTAATTTTTTGTATTTTTGGTAGAGACGGGGTTTCACCATGTTGACCAGGATGGTCTCGATCTCTCGACCTCGTGATCCACCCGCCTCGGCCTCCCAAAGTGCTGGGATTACAGGCTTGAGCCACCGCGCCCGGCCGGCTAGAACAAGGTTTTAGAGCCTAAGCAAGGGAGAGATTCACAAGGATGGCAGCCCGGCATGGAGCGTCAGAGCATACCCTGACAAACGGCAGCCTGTTGCGGGGTACCACAGACCAAGCAGGTTAAGAAGGCAGGTATACATATGAAAGGGAAGAAAACTGATTCTTCAATGCCTCTTTGACAAAAAAAAAAATGAATCCTGTGGGGCTGAATTGGAAATATGACGTATCAATGCAAACTCGTGATTTTTAATATGTATAGATATAGAGAAATATAGATTGCATACCATTCTTGTTTTTGTGTTTTTTTTTTCCTTTTCCTTTTCTTTAAATTTTGTTTTGTAGAGAGGAATTCTCTCTAAGTTGCCAAGGCTGGTCTTGAACTGGGCTCAAGCCATCCTCTTGCCTTGGTCTCCCAAACTGCTGAGATTACAGGTGTGAGCCGCCACTCCTGGCCCTAAATGCCAGTCTCAACTAAAAGAAACTGGGCTCTTTGAAGAAATGGCTACAACAGGAAAAGCTGCCCTGCCCACAGCTACGGCAGGAAAAGTACAAGATGAGCCTGAAATGTCTTCTTCAAAAATGCAAGAAAGTACTGAAAGAATAACAGGGACATGTCAAAATCATATCTTAATTTTCCTATGAAAATATAAGACCTAAGGCTGGGCGTGACAGCTCATGTCTGTAATCCTAGCACTTTGGGTGGCCAAGGTAGGCAGATTATCTGAAGTCAGGAGTTCAAGACCAATCTGACCAATATGGTGAAACCCTGACTCTACTACAAGTAGAAAAATTATCCAGGCTATGGTAGCATGCGCCTGTAATCCCAGCTATAAGGAGGCTGAGGTGGGAGAATCATTTGAACACTGAAGGTGAAGGCCATTGCACTCCAGCCTGGGCAACCCTCTCAAAAAATAAAAAATAAAAAAATTTTTAAAAATAAGATCTTTCCAAACTGTCCCTGCACCTTGATTTGAGTGCCTGAGTAAATGCTCCCCAAATTAATAAAATCATCCTAGTATTTTTAGAATTTTAAAATACCATAAAAACTTCTCAATAGTTTCCCACAAAAGGCTAACCTCAAGGATTTGAAATGGATAATTCCGACTCACTTATAACACCACTCACTCTTCCTCTATTTCACCCTGCTTTAAAAGAAAAAAAAAAAAAAAAAAAAAAAAAAACTCTCACAGTTGCCCCTATTACCAACATCTACATTAGCATGGACCATTTGCCACAACTATTGGTCCAATATTGACACATTACTATTTTTTTTTTGAGACAGAGTCTTGCTCTGTCACTCAGGCTAGATTGCAATGGCACAATCTCAGCTCACTGCAACCTCCACCTCTCAGGTTCAAGTGATTCTTCTACCTCAGCCTCCCAAGTAGCTGAGGTTTACAGGCACCCACTAGCACACACAGCTAATTTTTGTATTTTTAGTAGAGACAGGGTTTCATCATGTTGGCCAGGCTGGTCTTCAACTTCTGACCTTAGGTAATCCACCCACCTCGGCCTCCCAAAGTGCTGAGATTATAGGTGTGAGACGCCACGCCCAGCTTGACACATTACTATTAATTAGTCCATACTTAATTCAGATTTCCTTAGTTTTAAATGTCCTTTTTCTGTTCCACAGTACCACATTACATTTATTTTTTTATTTTATTTTTTGGAGACGGATTCTTGCTCTGTCACCCAGGCTGGAGTACAGTGGCACAATCTCGGTTCACTGTAACCTCCGCCTCCTAAGTGCAAGTGATTCTCCTGCCTCAACCTCCCAAGTAGCTGGGACTACAGGCATGCACCACCATGCCTGGCTAATCATTTAGTTGTTATGTCTCCACAGACGTCTTTTGGCAGTGACAGTTACCTGATAGCATTTAACTCACTGAAAAGGCATAAAATGATGGAAGCAACCTCTCAAAAAAATAAAAAAAGCAAAAACCCACATGGCTTTTGCATATACGAGAGGTTCAGGGTTTGGTTCGGACTTTAATACCACTTATTCTTGAACAACACCAACACTAAAACAAAGAAAAACTTGTTACTAATTAATTGCCAGGGTAGGTAATTATTACAGAAAGAAAAAATGAAAAAGATACATTACCTCAACCCTCAGGGCCTAAATTTCCTCATCTGGAAAATGGGAGATAATAATAGTACTAATTTCTTCATTATTGTGAGAGTTAAATTAAATAATGCTGGAAAACACTTAGCAGAGTGCTTGGCAAATGCTAAGCACTCAATAAATGGTAGACATTAGCTACTAACTTATCAAGAAAAACGAAGAGAAGATTATTTTGATGCCCAAAACTTCTAAGGAATGACTGAAATATTAAGTCTTTCCCATCTTATATACAGTCTCTCCAATCTAACTATATCCTTGTGTTGTTTGTTTTTGTTGTTTTTTGGGACAGGGTCTCACTCTGTCACCCCGGATGCAGTAGACTGGCGCAATCTCACTGCAGCCTCAACCTTTGGGCTAAGTGATCCATCCACATCAGCTTCCCTAGTAGCTGAGACCACAGGCACACGCCCCAACTCTTGGCTAATTTTTGCATTTTTCTTGGCATATGGGCAGCCATGTTCCCCAGGCTGGTTGAACTCCTGAGCTCAAGCTGTTTGCCCAATTCAGACTCCCAAAGTGCTGGGATTATAGGTGTGAGGCATTGCACCCAGCCCTGACTATACCTTTGTAAGGGAATATAACCTACAAACATTTTTTCATCACCTCCCTTTTCCCAGCTTCTGAATAACTAAGTTCGCAAAGTACAAGGAATAGAATCTTTTCAAATTTTGCAATGACTTCTACACAGCGTCCAAAAGCTAACATTGGAGAAGAGCCCAGTCAGCTTGATCAGTTTCTCCTGCATGAAACTCCAATCCTTCAGATCATATTCTTTTCAGCTTTATGTTACCTCAGAAGCTACCACTTCTGACTCACAAACCTGAGCTTTCTTTTTGAGACGGAGTTTCACTCATTACTCAGGCTGGAGTGCAATGGTGCGATCCTGGCTCACTGCAACCTCCACCTACTGGGTTCAAGTGATTCTCCTGCCTCAGCCTCCCGGGTAGCTGGGATTACAGGCATGAGCCACCATACGCAGCTAATTTTGTATTTTTTAGTAGAGACTGGGTTTCTCCATGTTGGTCAGGCTGGTCTCTTAACTCCCAGCCTCAGGTGATCCGCCCACCTCGGCCTCCCAAAATGCTGGGATTACAGGCATCAGTCACCTCACCTGGCCTCAAACCTGAGCTCTAAACACACTGTCTTTCTTCTGGAGAAAGGAAAAAAAAAATCACTCAGTATCTAAAGGACAGAGACAAGATTTTCAAATGGGTATCATAAAATTCAGGTTAACTTTTCAAGAAAGAACTATGGGGATATATGTTTGTGACAAACTGTTAGACCAAACTAAAACCATTAATTGTTGTAATCTAAAAATAAAAAATAGCTCCATCTTCAAATAAACAGAAAAAAAATAGTTCAATAAAAAGGAAAATTCTGCTCACCTCCTAACTGCGGAGCCCTGGTTTTAATAGCTGTTAAACTCCCTCGTAGTCTGTGGTTTACTCCCTACAACAAAACAAAGGAAGCAACCAAAAACAAATTAGAAGTACATTTCTAAGCCACTGATGGGCCCACCGGTAACACCATCAAACCAAGTTTCAAATGGTGATAAAGTAAGACCATTCACTCACTTACCACTGGAGAATTGCGAAAACCTTTGATTGCTTGAAAGATACCTCCACCAATGGTACCCATCGTAAAGGCCCCACCACAGTCATCCACAATTCGCCATGGGCTAAGAACGGGGCAAAAAAAAAAAAAAAAAAAAAAACCATATTTCTCATTCGCAAATCATAAAACTTTCTTTGCTAATGCAGTAAGGGATGGAACAGATTATACTGTGGGACCCACTGCAATCAATAAATATTTGGCCTATAAAATGACTTGAGGAAATGCTGTAATCAAACAGGCCAGTCAGAAAATCAAAGCAGAATTTTTTTTTTTTTTTTTTTTTTTTTTGAGACGGAGTTTCTCTCTTATTTCCCAGGCTGGAGTGCAATGGCGCGATCTCGGCTCACCGCAACCTCCGCCTCCTGGGTTCAGGCAATTCTCCTGCCTCAGCCTCCTTCAAAGCAGATTTGATTACAAAGCTAACCAGGTAACTGATTACATTGTTTCAGGACATGTGTACTAGGAGAAAGCAAAGGGGCTACCTAATAATTTAGTAAATGAAAACCCATTCTTAAAGATCTTTAACTCAACATAGTTAAGTATTTTACCCTCTGCTAACCTGTGTCATTACAGTACATCAAACAGCTATTTACAGTGTGCTGAGTCCTACATATCTGAGCACAACCCAGAATGGGGATAACTGCTTTGAAGAAGGTAAGTCTGAAGAGCCAGGAGACCCTAAGACTTCTATTTTGCATGCCATTTGGGGAAGAGGGAAACACAAAACAGGCAACAGGACTAGGATAGCAGAGTAATAATTCAAGGTCCTGGGCATTTTCACAAATTGAGGACATCTTGGTTCTTGCTCTTACACAATAAAACAAATGATTAACCAAAATATCAAGATATGATTTTTTACTTATGACCCCAGAAACTTTAAACTCTGGCAACCTTAGACTTCTGACAGCAATTACATTGTTTTATAATTATTTATGTGTGTGGTTTATTCATGCCCAATAAACGCTGAATGAAAGAATGAATTTCTGTCCATGGATTTTCAGAGAACACACGCTATTACCTCTTCCTATTTCCCAGGTAATTTCCCCCCCCGCCTACCCTCAGAAAGAATTCCAAGGAGGAAAACAAGGCCCCACAGCCTAAAGGAGCTTATCCAAACCCCTTGGCTAAAACGTACGTTCCATTCATTTAAAATGCTTCACTCTGCCGATTCGTACCATGATACACGTAAAACCTCAAAAATGGAACCCCCTCAAACGCCTATCTTCAGTTCCTCAAGGCAGGAAGTGAGCAAGCGAGGCGGAGGGACGCGCCCAAGGTCACCTCGGCGGACAGAGGGGATTTTAACTGGCCCCGCACAAGATCGACTACGCCCTGCGTTAGCAGGAGGTTACGAGGTTCTATCAAACTCAAGTCTGGACCTCTTCACCATCCACCCCAAAGTCACAGGGGTGCTGGGTTGGGAGAGCGAGGCTCAAGCGGCCAGGGAGGTAGCGGGTACAGGGCTAAGAAAAAGACTGGCCGAGACAGACCGCACTGCCCACAATTACCAGGCCCAAATCGACAAGGCTGCCGTTGAGTCTGGCTTACAACTTGGAAGCCTGGACAGGGGAGAAGGAGGGCAATGGGCAGGGCGGGGCAAGAGAAAGGCAAAGACAGCAGTGAGGCTCACCAAGGCTCTCGCGCGTACTCCTCCATCTTGACTCCAGCGCCGCGAGTGATGCCGGGCAAGCTGGGCGGAGCCTGACCCCAGAGGCGGAAGTGGTTCCGAGAGGACGGCGTTAAGGTGTATGAGGATTGGTTCACCGTTTCCCGCTGCAGCCAATGGGAGCCGGGACTCCTGCGGATAGCATGTGGTTGGGATATTGGTCGCGGCGTGGCGAGACTGGCCCCGCCCACATCCTCGAAGGCCCTGGGTCCGAGCTGTGTGGGCGGAGAGCTACCAAGGACGGAGTCACGCTACCGAGTTACCAGCGGTTCGGTGGTCCGAGATCAACCTGTTATTTCCTAAATACGCTTCTTTTTCTTTATATCTTTTCTTTCTTTTGCTGCTTGTTTTCCTTTATTTTTCTTTTTTCTTTCTCTCCTTTCCTTTCCTTCTTTTTCTTTTTTGTTACTTTTGCTGTCAAATGTGAATTAATGCTTCCTTATTCGTCACGTATTGTGAAGCCACTACCAAATACACGTAGCTCCTTAAGGGCAGACAGTGTCTTAGTGATTTATAATAACCACAGTGCCTAGAAAGTAGTAGATGCTTAATAAATGTTTGTGAAATGGAACTATTTGGGCCATCTGGAGAGCCATGACCAATTTGGAGCCCTCGATTTCAGGCATATTGACGCCAGAGCCTCTTACAGGCCTCTCTGCCAATGATCACCGGAAGGTGTGAAGATGTTTGGCTCAGAGAAGAGGGGACTTATGGGGACCTGGCCGGGGATGGTGGCACGTGCCTGTGGCGCTGGCTATTCCGGAGACTGAGGCGGGAAGACGGCGTAAGCCCAGGAGGTCTAGACTGCAAGGAGCTGTGATCGTGCCACTGTACTCTAGCGATAGAGTGAGACCCTGTCCAAAAAAAAAAAAGAGAGAAAAAAACAAGAAAGAAAGCGGGGACCCATGGGGCTTTTAGTTTACTGTCAACAAAATCCCAATCATGTGATGGCTGTTAAAGGTGCTCTTCTCCATTCCGTATGTTTGTAATTGACTTTAAAGTATGTATATATTTATTTTATGGATAAGTCGACTTGATAAATAATGGAAGACTGCAAAGGGGAGTGAGGATCTCTCCAAAAGCTTGGAAATAAAGTAAGCAGATGAATTGACCCGTCCATGGAACTAAATAAATGTGTCTCGTGTGTGAGAATGGTTCATACTAGTCATCTGATTTGGGTGTGTAAGTTGGAGAAGACCTGTTGGGAATGTGACTGTAATTAACAATAGTTAACTCTATTTAATTGGCTGAAGAGAGATTGTGGGAGAGGGGACATGGAAGAATTCAGAGGGCAAAAATCTGATGTTTAGTCAGCACTGCAGACCTGGTGGGTATAAACATTTCAGTAACTAGAGATTTTGCACACTCATGGGGCAAGGATATTCTTTCTGGTCTCACCAGGACCTAGATAAAATATCCCTTAGCTCTAGCTACCTCCCTTTATTCTTGTTCTGAATTTATTAGACGATCTTCTTATTTGGCTTCTGAATAGATTTCGAAATAGTAGAGAATACCCCGGCCTGTGTTTATAACTATTCTTCTACATTTGGTAGTTAATCTGGCTTATGTATCTGCCTCTTGTGAGTTAAGTTATTTTGACTAAATCACCAGGAATAGTCGGGGTTTTCCAGAGAAACAGAACCAAGAGGATATATGTATATGTATATCCTATTGTGTGCAAATATATATATATATATATATATATATATATATATATATATATATGTATATCCTTTTGGTTCTGTTTCTCTCTATATATATTATATATAATTAATAAGTAAATATTTATGATGAGTAGTTGGCTCACATGATTATGGAGGTTAAGTCCAATAATCTGTGTCTGCAAGCTGAGATGGAGGAAAGTCAGTGGTGCAGTTCAGTCGAAGTCCAAAGGCCTGAGAACCAGGAGGGCTGATGACGTAAGATGTAAATCCCAGTTTGGGGGCAAGAGAAGGTGAAATGAGATATCCCAGCTCACCAGTGAGGCAGGGAAAGAGGGGCAGATTCTTTCCTCTGCCTTTTCAATGCCCAGCTACACTGAGTAGGGCAATCTACTTTGCTGAGTCTACCAATTCAAATGCTATTCTCATCTGGAAACATCCTCATGGACACACCCAGAACATTTAATCTGGGCACCCTATGGTCTACTCAAGTTGACATATCAAATTAACCATCACAGTGATGATGAGTTTCCGAGATTACAAAGCTGAAGTCCAGTTTCTAGGCTGTGGTTCCCCAGCTCATTTAATTCCAACAGTCCCTCTCCTAAGGGAGTTTACTGCTCTGGGAAGCCCCGGTCAAGTGGCTAAAGAAATTTTGAACAAAGAGACTTCTCACTCTTTGATCTCTTTTAACTGCAACAGATAACAGAACATTTTTGTCTGGGCAGGGCCCATGATTTAGTCTTTTTTGGGTAGAGAAAGAAGATGTCACGTCTCCTCAAAAATACTTCCACTTGGTTCCAGGGTGCTAAGTGAAGAAATCTTTTGAAAGGGTTAGAAGGGGCCGGGTGCGGTGGCTCATGCCTATAATCCCAGCACTTTGGGAGGCTGAGGCGGTTGAATCATGAGGTCAGGAGTTCAAGACCAGCCTGGCCAAGATGGTGAAACCTCGTCTCTACTAAAAATACAAAAATTAGCCAGGCATGGTGGCACGTGCCTGAAATCCCAGCTACTTGGGAGGGTGAGGCAAAGAATTGCTTGAACCTGGGAGGTGGAGGTTGCAGTGAGCCAAGATCATGCCACTGCACTCTGGCCTGGGTGACAGAGTGAGACTCCATCTCAAAAAAAAAAAAAAAAAAAAAGGCCGGGCGTGGTGGCTAACACCTGTAATCCCAGCACTTTGGGAGGCCGAGGCGGGTGGATCACGAGGTCAAGAGATCGAGACCATCCTGGTCAACATGGTGAAACCCCGTCTCTACTAAAAATACAAAAAATTAGCTGGGCATGGTGGCACGTGCCTGTAATCCCAGCTACTCAGGAGGCTGAGGCAGGAGAATTGCCTGAACCCAGGAGGCGGAGGTTGCGGTGAGCCGAGATTGCGCCATTGCACTCCAGCCTGGGTAACAAGAGCGAAACTCCGTCTCAAAAAAAAAAAAAAAGAAAGAAAAGAAAAGGAAAGGAAAAAGAATTAGAGCCGGGCGCGGTGGCTCAAGCCTGTAATCCCAGCACTTTGGGAGGCCGAGGCGGGTGGATCACGAGGTCGAGAGATCGAGACCATCCTGGTCAACAAGGTGAAACCCCGTCTCTACTAAAAATACAAAAAGTTAGCTGGGCATGGTGGTGCGTGCCTGTAATCCCAGCTACTCAGGAGGCTGAGGCAGGAGAATTGCCTGGGCCCAGGAGGCGGAGGTTGCGGTGAGCCGAGATCGTGCCATTGCACTCCAGCCTGGGTAACAAGAGTGAAACTCCGTCTCAAAAAAAAAAAAGAATTAGAAGGATTGGTACTCTAATCTCCCCCTAGTGAGTCTTAAAGAAGTCTGAGGGACTGTGGTGGCCCTCACTGATGTGACACAAAGGCATAGATAGAAGAAGACATTGGAAGTCCTTGAGAGAAAACTCACTATAGAGGTGAGGGGAGTTTGAACTTCTGATTCAACATACCAGTGTATATTCTGTTGAAAGTTACTGTCCTGGGCTCAGGATAGGACTGCTGCTAGAGCCCCTTGTGGTCCAGGTACTCAGTAGATTGAGCTCCATTGAGCCAGAGGCTGCTATGGCCTAAGGAACTCCATTCACCAGGTCACAGGTCATGTACATGGCACCAAACCCACAGTCCGACCTGGTCTAAGTCGTGGAGAAATTCAGATTGGCATGGATAAGTAAGCCTCCTGTTGGGTTTAGGGTTTTAGTTTGTGACCGGGGCTGATCTGGTGGACAGAGGGGTTTTAGCCTAGGTGACATTGGTGGAGAGACAAGGAGGCACTCTCTCTTCTCTTTGCTGCCCCCTTTTCCCCTCCCACTGCTTTCCTCTCAGGAAGACATTAGTCTGGCCTGTGTTCTGTCTTGAGCTCTCCTCTGCCCGATTCTGCTGATTTCAGGAGTGTTGGACCAGGCCAATGTCTTGCTTCCAGAGGTAAAGTCTGCTGCCTTTTAGGGAAACTGTCAGCATCCCTGCAAAAGGAGAAAACCAGTATGTAAACTTCTCTTTTCTGTGGTCTCTTTCAGGCCCCTGCCATAGTCGTTGTATGTCAGCATATCTATTGATCTTTACATGTATATACACGTACGTGTATCTACATAATTTAACTCTACAGCAGGCACTAGTGAGTGCTTACAATGTGTCTCATGCTGTGAAGTATTTTGCATGCATTATCTTATTTAATATGCTCAATAATTCCACAACTCTGTGAATTAGGGGTTTTTATTAGATTTTTTTTTTTTTTTTTTTTTTTTTTTTTTTTTTTTTTACTTTTTGTTTTTATTTTTTGAGACAGTCTCACTGGGTCGCTTAGGCTGGAGTGCAGTGGCATGATCTTGGTTCACTGCAACCTCTGCCTCCCAGATTCAAGCAATTCTCCTGTCCCAGCCTCCTGAGTAGCTGGATTACAGGCATGAGCCACCACACCTGGCTAATTTTTTTGTATTTTTAGTAGAGATGGGGTTTCTCCATCTTGGTCAGGCTGGTCTTGAACTCCCAATCTCAGGTGATCCACCTGCCTGGGCCTCCCACAGTGCTGAGATTACAGGCCATGAGCCACCTCGCCCAGCTTTTTTTTTTTTTTTTTTTTTTTTAAGAGATGAGTCTCAATATTTTCCCTAGGCTGGACTCAAACTCCTTTGCTTAAACAATCTTCCCTCCTCAGTACCCCAAATAGTTGGGACTACAGGCACACACCACTGCACCCAGCTTGTAGGTACTCATAATATCCTCATTTTCCATTTCCTAAGGCTCAGAGAGGTTAAATAACTTACTTAAGGTCACACATCTCAGATCTGAGCCAATGTCATTTGATTCTAGAGCCTGTAGTCTTCTCTGCTATATTATACTGCCACCCTATATTCCTGAAAATGTGACTTTCCTGGGGTCATTCAGCCCAACTGAGAGCCA